ATTCCAGAGCAGTGATTCTCAACCTTCCTAGTGCTGTAACTTTTTAATACAGCTCCTCATGTGGTGGTGACCCCCCAACTATAAAAACTTATTTCGTTGCCACTCCACAACTGTAATTTTGTTGCTGTTATGAATCATAATGCAAACATCCGTGTTTTCCAATGGTCTTAGGCAATCCGCATGAAAGGGTTGGCAGATTCCCAAAGCCGTCACAACTCACGGATTGAGACCCACTGTTCTAGAGGGTGCCAAGATGACAGCACCAATCATAGCAGTAACGTGACCCACATGGGTACAGTGACACAGGTCACAGTGCCAACTACTTGAAGTGCAGAGACAAAATTCAGAGCAAGCCTGGACAATGTAGAGCTTGTTTCTAAAATAAATAAATAGCTCAACCCTGGTTCTTCCCCAGCAAAGAAGCTGATAGCTGTACCTCTCTATCCATCCCACCTCAATCCCAAGAACCCTCAAATGTCAAGTAGCCACCCTTTCAGCACCCACATCCACTTCCCAGTGATGTCAACACATGACTTAGTAGGCATGGGCTACACAGCCAGAGCCAGGCAAGAGAATGCCTGCCCCTGCTCCCAGCTGGACATCCGGGACCTCCTCCTCCCTCAGCGTCTATCACCACTCCTAGTTACCTGCCAGGCTGGCCCCAGTGCCTCCTATAAACATCACCCTGATTTAGCCCTGCTTCCTCTCAAGCTCTCTGTCACCTGTGGCTTTAGGATGTGGTTTTTGCCTCATCTCATGAGGTTCCAGCCCTCGAGGGAGGAGGAATTGCCCATTAGTCATAGTTTTACATGACTTCCTGGCCTGCATATTGATAGAATAATTGCCTAACTAGCATGTATAGAGCCCGGGGTTCCATTGCCTCACACCACATAAACAATACAATAAATTGCAAAGAGTTTCTTTTAGATGCAACAGAAACTTTCAGTAATGCCTGTGTGTTCCTTGAGGAGGACCTATTAGTTCCAGCTTCTGGGATACAGAGTTGCAAATCTAGGGATACAACAGATTCACATCCTACTCCTATCCCTGAGTCACTGTGGACCTGTGACATGACCGCTCTGGGCCTTCATCTCCTCCTCTGAAAAATAGCTAATGATGGTGATTGTCACAAAGTCCTCACAAGAGACCTGACACACAGAGAATGCCATGAAGTTACTGACTTGCTGCCATCACTCTGCATGTTGCTACCCCTTCTCTGCACCAGGAAGTCCAGCTTGCTCTCTTCCTAGGGAATCCCAGCCAGGAATCAAAATTGGAAGTCATGCTTATTCTCCTTTCATTCTTCACCCATGATATGATCTCAGTTAGAATGTATTACGTAGAATCTATTTAAAATATCTTGTGAGACTTGGAAAATTGACTTTAGAGCACACACCTTTAGTCCGGACGCTGGGGAGGCAGAGGCAGGCGGATCTCTGTGAGTTGGAGGCCAGCCTGATCTACAGAACGAGTTCTAGGACAGCCAGGGCTACACACAGAGAAACCCTGTCTTGAAAAAAAAAAAAAAAAACAATCCCCCCAAAAAAAACTAAAAAAGAGATGACTTTATCTGAGTTTTTTTTTAATTTAAATTTTATTTTATGTGTAGAAGTGTTTTACCTGTGTCTCTGCAACACTTACATGTCAGGTGCTTGAAGAAGCCAGAAGAGGGCAACAGATCCCCTGGGACTAGAGCTGCCACGTAGGTACTTGGATCCTGCCACGTAGGTACCTGGATCCATTTTTCTTAACCATGGAGCTATCTGGCCAGCCCTGGGTTTTGTTTGTTTGTTTTGCATTGTCTTCCCACAGCTTTAAATGTATCTGAAGTAAACACAGGAAAACAATTAATGACAAAAAGCATCAGATGGTAGGTTACTCAGTGCAGCCTGGCTACCTTCTGAGGATCGGAGTACTCCATTCCCTAGATCATTCAAGCAGACTGGAGGACTGGCGAGAAGACTGAGAATTTTGGGGGCACTACTGACTCCGACAGGTCACAACAGGTTCCTGAGGAAGGCAGGCAGGTCCATTTCTAATCTGATTCTGCCCCCCACCCCCTGCTCCACTTTATTTTGAGACTGAGTCTCACAATGTAGCCTCGGATGGCCGTGAACTCATAGGGATCCATCTCTCAGCCTCCTGAATGCTGTGATCAAAAGTGTGCGCTGCCATGCCTGGCCTGACCCTGTTCTTGAACTTCTCCCATTTGCTACACAGGGCAAGCCAGGTCCAACTGTCTAGGTAGACACATTCTCCAGAGCCTGGGGAGGAATATGTCTAGTGTGCTTTCTGTGCTCATGAAAGTCCCTCCTCCTTGCCTGGACTTCAGGATACAGCTAGCTATTAGCTTTTAACCAGATGGTCTTTGAGGACCATGGTTTAATCTGAAGTTCTGGGATTCCTGAAGCCAGAGTGTGCAAGAGAAGAAGGCTGCCAGGGAGGAGGGAGGAAGTTAGGGCCTGCAACATCCTGAAGTGACTGCCTTCAGTCACCTGTCATTCTGGTGCTCCCTACTTGGTGAGGGAATCCACTGGCCAGAGTCCCAGCCACGCTGGATCTGGCAGCGACAGGTCTGCTCCTCCTAAATGCTAGAATTACAGAGCTCACAAACAGCCACCTGCCTCTGCCCTCTGCTCTCTGCCCTCTGCCCTCTGCCCTCTGCCTCCTCAGTGCTGGGATTAAGGGTGTGTGCCTCCACACTTGCTCAAAATCATTTTTATTAAAACAAGAATGTTAGAAATCTTTCTAGAGCCTGGGATGGTGGCACACACCTTTATCCCCCGCACTGAGGAGGCAGAGGCAGGAAGATCTCTGTGAGTTTGAGGCCAGCCTGGTCTATGAAGGGAGTTTCAGATCAGCCAGGACTGTTACACAGAGAAACCAGAGAGAGAGAGAGAGAGAGAGAGAGAGAGAGAGAGAGAATGTTGAGACTTTAAAAGTTGAGGTGGGTGAATCACTTGAACTCAGGAGCTAACCCAGGGACTAGCTTGGGCAACACAGTGAGCTCCTCCTATCTCAGAGAGAAAACCACTCAGTTCAAAGCACTCCGTAAAACATTAGAAATTAAAATATAAGTACAGGGATCTTTCCTTGTATCCGATCAAGGAGAAAGCAGCTGTTTCAGAAATGACAAGCATGGCTGCCAGTGGGCGTTGCATCTGTGTTTCACAGATTTGAGCAGAGATAAACAGAGGGAGCCACTATTGCTGAGGGCTCAGGCCCACAGTTCCAGCAGGTGTTTCCAGTCTCCTAAACTGAATGGGACTTCCACCTCCAGGCTCAAAGGTGTCTGAAAGTCTAAACATTACCATAAACAGGAAGCATCTGCTATAGTGGGAACCTGTTGGAACCCACCTGCCAGCCAGGCTCCCCTCCCAGAGTAGCACTCTGGGGCCCCACTCCCTTGAGCTCAGCTAGACTTCAGCGTGCTTTCTTGTTTCCCACTCTATGCCCACGAGTGTTCCTAGTCACAGGCTTGGGGCACTCAGCACATGCTGCTGGCTGGCCTGTTAGCATCAGTAAGGGCTGTGTCCACTCCCCAGCAAGGTGTCCTTGTCCTGCTCTCTTTTGCCTGCTCTGCAGTCTTGCTAATTGATGGCGCACTTATCTGGAAGGGGCCACCTTCTTCAAGCCTTTGCACCGATTGCCTGGATGCCTTTCTCACCCCTCTGCAGCACCTCTATGCCAGTTGCTAATCAATGAGCCTCGGTCAGGCCCCTTGCATGTGCTGGAACTCAGTGCTTCCATCCCTATCATGAACATGGGTCCTGCATGCCTGATTGTCCAGGGAGTGCTGGGGATGGAACCCAAGGCCTATGCATGAGGGGCATGTGCTCTACCACTAACGTACAACCCTGCTTCCTGAAACTGGGCTCCAGATGCCTTCAGAATGCCCTCCCTACTTAAATAGCATGCCAACCTAACACTATACTGGGGATGAGCCCAGGGACTTGCACACACTAGGCAAGAGTTCTACTGATGAGCTACATTGCCAGCCCCACTTTAATGCTTTTAGTTTAATTTTTAACTACCATGCAAAGTAACAGATTTCCTTATTACATATTCTTTGTGTGTGTGTATGTGGGGGGGTGTATGTACATGTACATGTATTCGTCAGTGTGTGGTGCAGATGTCTTTACCAGATGTCAACATTGCCTTTGTTTCAATTGCTCTCACCCTGTTTTTTGAAGCAGTATCTCTCACTCGATGGGGAGCTCTGTGATTGGCTACACTGGCTGGCCAATAAAATAGGGATTAGATTCTACCTATGGTTGTATCCCTTACCCTGCTGCCCACCCAACCCAGTGCCAAGTGCTGATCCTGGTTTTTTACCTGAGTTCCAGGTATCCCAACTTAGGTCTTCATGTTTATGCCATAGGCATCTTACTGACTGGGCCACCTCTCACACCCCTACAGAACTTTCTTTTTAAAATTATTTTTGTTTTATGTGTATGGATGTCTTTTTTTTTTTTTTTTTTGGTTTTTCATGACAGGGTTTCTCTAGCTCTTGTAGACCAGGCTGGTCTCGAACTCACAGAGATCTGCCTGCCTCTGCCTCCTGAGTGCTGGGATTAAAGGTGTGCGCCACCAATGCCCAGTTTATGTGTCTGGATGTCTTCCCTGCATGGATGTCTGTGAATGTGCATACAGTTCCTGCAGGGACCAGAAGAGGGCATCAGATTCCCTGGAACTGGAGTCTTTCAGTTGTGAGCGGCCAGGTGGGCGCTAGAAATCAAACCCAGGTCCTCTGGAAGAGCAGCCAGTGCTCGTAACTGCTGAGCCATCTCTCTGCCCCCAGCCCTCATGGCATTTGCACACATAATTTGTCTTAGATGTTCCCTCCACCTCCTCTCCCCACCTTGTACCATCCACCCCCAGAATCTCCCTTCCCATTTTTCCACCACACATCTTCTATTACTCCCCCTACCTAAAATCTCCCCCCCAAGTTCTTCATGCACCCCTTTTCTCCATAAATATGCAAAGACAAAAAATTAGAGGAAAATATGGAACACTTCATGAGTTTGTGTGTCATCCTCACTTGGGGACCATGCTAATCTTCTCTGTCTCATTCCATTTTCACTGTATGTGCCCCCAAAGTGACCGTTTCAATGTTTCCTGAGCTGTGTCCCCTTCTCTTTCTCTCGAGCAAGTCTTCAACTCCCCTCCTCCAGGAAGTCCTCCTTGGTTTATGTCCTCTAACAGTGCTAGCACAAAGGACCATGGGGCCCCCTCACTGTCACAGAGGCCACCCAACTATACACAATTTAAACATCCCAGGACTTCGGGGGAAAATAGCACTTCTAGAAGGACCCTTGAATCCATATTATCTTGAAATTCTCTGTCTGGTGTGGTCTGTCCCAAGTCCCCAAGGTTTTGGCCCTGTTGTTTCTCTCTTGAACTGATCTACTCCCGCTGAAGAGGGCATGTGCTTTACTTGGCTGTGATCTTCCTCAGGTGAGCCCTTCCCCTGAGGCCTTTGTTAGGGTAATGCTACTTGAGGACCAAGTAACTCATTTCTAAGTACTGAGGCATTTTGTGTGCAGTAGCCCAGTTTTGCTTCAGAAACTTCCCAAGGGCAGAGAGGGCAGGTGGGATGATTCCTTTCAGTGACTGTGGAAGCATCTGGAGCTCCCAGTACATGGTGAATTAAGCAAGCCCACAGTACATCCACCTGGCCAGCCCTGTTTTCCTCAGTCATGTATTTAGGACTGTTTTGTGTGCTGGCTTAGGTTTTAATCCTGTCCAGTGTGAGCAGGGGTCCCAGGGCTGGCAGGGGAGCCAGAATGAGCGGATTTGACTTCTAATCTGACTCACACATCTGTCGAGAGTGCTGTCAAGCTGGGGAAGTTTAGCTGTGCCTCTAGCCTGAGCCTGCCCTGCTCACTGCCACAGCTGGCCTCTAGCCCCGAGGCGCACCCCTCCCTCCTCTGGGAGCCCAAAGTTGGCCATGGGGTGAGGGGTGTCCTAGGAGGACCGCAGCCTATGGACAGGCGACAGGCGGATGTTTTCTTTCCTCGACATTGTTCTGACCCCAGTCTATTGTGTGTGCCAAGAGAGCGTCACCAAGTCTCCTGGCAGGCTCTCAGCAGAGTTGGGGAACATTTCCGGAGGGGAGTGGCCCATTATGAATGCTGAGGCTTTCACAAGCTCTGCCATTCCTTTGGGTTGGCTGGGCTGCAAGAGTCTAGAAGGACAACAATGGAGACTCCAGAATCCCTGAAGGCTAGCTTCGAGGTTGAAGGTCCCAAGGACCTTGACAGGCTACCGGTTTGCCCAAGAGTTCTCCCAGGCTGGGCCTGAAGCCCATGGGGGGCTTGGGAATGGGAAGTAGAGGAGATCTGGCAGGGAGTTGGTGGACAGATAGATACACAGCTGGGGACATCAAGAGAGCCAGAATTGTATTGTATTTTATTAACAATTCCTGACCCCTAACCTGAGCTGGCTCCCACCTGAGGATGGGAAAGGACCTGGTCACCTTCAAACACTCCACTGAATCTATCTATCCCAGAGGAAATGGAAATTCAGAATTGTTTGCCAGTGGGTGAGTAATGAGCATTGCTCCCAACTGGCTCACAGCTGTTCCCCCCAGAAAAAAAGTATTTATGTCTGTGCCTCTCTTTATCAGGCTAAGGCATGCACTTCAGGCAGGCAAGGGTGTGTGTGTTTGTGTGTATCTGTGTGTTTATGTGTGTCTGTTCATCTGTGTGTCTGTGTATATGTGTCTTTGTGTATCTGTGTGTATGCATCTTAGCGTGTCTCTCTGTGTGTGTGTGTCCTTCTGTGTGTATCTCTGTGTGTTCATCTGTGTGTGTATGTGTGTGGGTAGGGGGGAGGGAAAGGGAGAGAGTGAGGAATTAGTCCCTCTGTGGGGATTAACTCCCAGCAAGACCAAAAATTTGGGAAGTACCTATTTCATATAGATGTGAAATAGAGTCCCGCAGAGGTTAAGAATTGACTCAGACCATATAACTACTCTGTGGCAGAGCCAGGATTTGAACCGAAGTCTATGACACTCCAAAGTACTTGTCCTAAACAAAGTTATTCGAAGTTCCAGTGCATAAAACATAACATGCAAAACTTCTAGGCCCTGTGCCCTTGCCCTGGGTAAGGGCAGAATCTCAGCAATGCTCCTAATTCACAGGGATGGTTCTGAAGTGATGATGTCACAGGTTAAGAAACGATTTTGGGGCTCTGCTTTAGGACCCCAGTCACAGAGCACGGCCTAATCAGAGAACATCAGAACCCCAGATTGCTGCTAACCCCCAGGAGCTTTGCTGAGAGAGAGTGACCCAGGAGAAGGGTGTGGTCCTCCATGCCAGTTGTTTTTGTCAGTTTGACACAAACCTAGACATATGGAACAGGAAGTCCCAACTAAAGAATGCCCCCTCATATCAGATTGGCTTTTAGGAGAGCTTGTTGGGCCTTTTTTCTTTGATCGATGATTGACCGCGGTGGTGCCGTGCCCAGCCAGATCGTCCTGGAGTGTATAAGAAAGCAAACTGAGCAAGTCAGTAAGTTTTCTCATGGTTTCTGCCTTGGTTCCTGCCCTGACTTCCCTCAGTGCTGGAGTGTGACCCAAGAGTTGTAAGATGAAAGAAACCCTTTCTCCCGGAGTTGCTTTCAGATAAAACAGTGTTTTATCACACAAGCACAAACCCTAATTAAGACACTCTCAGTACAAGAGTAGGTCTGATCCAGGTGGCGGTGGCACATGCTTTTAATCCCAGCACTTGGGAGTCAGAGACAGGCAGATCTCTGTGAGTTCCAGTACAGCCTGGCCTACACAGAGAAACCCTGTCTCGGAAAAAAAAATAGGACTGATCGTTTCAGCGCCCCTCCCAAAGAGACACACCTGCACAAAATCAAGAAAGGCACGTGGGGAGATGTCTGTTGTACTGACTGACTCCCTGCCGTGAAGGAGGGCTAAGACCCTCCTGCGTCACAGTGTCTGAAGCTATGCTATGAATAGACAGCCCCAGGTCCCACCTCCCAGGGGGAAGGTGACTCTCCTTTAAGATTTCTCCCCTGGCAATCTCAGCACAAATGGAAACTTGAGAAGGAGAAGAAGTAGGAATGGAATAGCTTTGGTGTCCTGAGGAACATGCATCTCCATAGACTCCAAAGCTACAGCACCCCAGGGAAGCATGCCACTGAGTATTTATCAAAAAGCCAGCATATGAAGTGAGAGTTCTGTGTTTGAGTCCTGCTTGGACACTCTGCAGTCCTGATGACTGTGCCTCACTGGGCCCCAATCCTCGTACCTCTCATGAGGTAAGTTTGTCACCCACCACCATCACTGTGGCCCTCTGAAAAGTGGGCATGCAGCAGTCTCTGAATAAGCTAGAGGACCTTCTCGTGTGTTTTGGGAAATACCACCAGAGGACTCCCAGTGGGCTCCATATGGATCATGCCCACATTATCCTGTTGGGGAGTTGAGAACTGGGTGTGGGGTGAGTAATTAGTCCCAGAATCAGGACCTAGGACACGGATAGGTGCCACCGAGCAGACGGTCAAGTGTCAGGTTATGTTTGCAGGAGTCTGAAGCAGATAACATAAGCCTGGCAAGACAACTTCTGGGTTAAGGGCATAGGGCTCATATCCTCACTGGACAACTTGCTAAGTGAGTCACTCTGGGCCACTTAAGTCTGCCTCTCTGTGTCTCAGTATCCTATGTATAAAATATAATAATCAACGTACCCACTTCTCAATCCAAAAAAAAAAAAAAAACACTCATGCTTAGCACACATTAAGGAATCAGTATCAGTCAGGACTGCCTATTAATGGAAAGATTTTTGAGTGCAGGGGAATCTTTAATAGTCTTGAGTTTCTGTTGTGTCCTCCTCACATCTAAGGTTATCCCTGGATGCCCTGGATGCAGGTGATGATAAAAGCAATGCTTTCATCATAGTTATAGTTCTCAGGCTCGGCCTTCTCCCCTGGGTAAATCTCCCTGTGAGTAAGAGTCAGGATGAGGCAGCAATGGCTGGGTTAGAGGGCATTGCCACCAGCACCTCTTAAGCCGGGTTTCTGCTTCCTTAGTAGGTACCTGTAATCCCAGTATTTGGGAGGTGGAAGCATGAGGATTAGGAGTTCAAGGAAGCCTAAGGTACAAGAAACCCTGGAGAGAGGGAGGAGGAGGGGAAGGGAAGAGGAAAAGGCTATCTTTGTTAAGTCAATATCTGTAGGGAAGACTGAGGTAACTCATCGGTAGAAGACATGCTTTCCATACAAAAGGTCTTAGGTTCATTCCCCTCTACCACCAAAAAGAAAATGTCACTAGGTAGAAAGCCCCAGCAATCCGTGAGTGCAGACTGCCGCCACATCAGGCAGAGCACCAAGACACCAACAGAAGAGAGACACGGCAGTGATCTGAGGGCTCCAGCTACTTCCCTCTAAGGCTCCCATCTGCCAGGAGGTGGAGGAAGCAGTAGGGTCTGGACCCACGCCCATCGTGGGAATGTTCACCCTCATTCTAAGCCAGGGCCTGGCCTGCCCCTGGCAGCACAGTGACTCACACTACCAGGTCCACACACCAGAGGAATCCAGGCCAGCAGGAAACAGGTGGCCACCCTGTTACCAGGGAGACACTAATTCTGTTGGAGGGTGGTAGTATTTGAGCCAGACCCTAAGGCTGAGTGCATTTCTGCAGAACCAGGAAGAACCATAGACGTCCCTGCCCAAGAATTGCAAGACCTCCCTCATGGGACGTCTAAGATGAAAGGGAGGACAGGGACGCAAGCAGGGGCTCCCACTGCATATGGTAGAGGTCCTGTGGTCCTTTGTAGCAGTGCAACCTGAGGGGGGCATTATCATTACCTACTGACTGTTAGAAGTAATATACACTCATCATTTTTAAATGGAGTAAAACACAAACTCTGGGTTGCAGCCCAGCTGGTAGAGTGACTAGCTACTGAGCATGAAAACCTGGGTTTGATCCCCACACCACACAAGGGGGGGGGGCGGTGTCATGGCATGGTGGCACACCCTGTGTTCACATCTTAAGAGGCAGAAGGATGAGCCCTGTGGTGGTAGCACACACCTTTAATCCCAGCACTTGAGAGGCAAAGGCAGGTGCATCCCTGTGAGTTTGAGGCCAGCCTG